TAAGCATTGCCTTGTCCAAAATGCGAGTGACTCAGGCACGAGACTAACCAAAATGTCTCAATATATATAAGCATTGCCTTGTCCAAAATGTGCGTGACTCGGGCATACATTAACATTGCTATATTTAAAGGACAAAAATAGAATATGAGCATAAACAAAAAATATATATTAAACTAGCAATGATTACAAAACTCCCACTAACTAAATACAACATAAGACTCTAACAATCCCAAATGAGTCACATGCTTTTGAAACAATCTTGGAGCTAAACCTTTAGTTAGTGGGTCTGCTAACATATGATCTGTCAAAATATGCTCAATACAAATATAAGACTCAATTATTTTCTCTCTAACAAACAAATACTTAATATCAATATGCTTGGAGCGCGAAGAGCTCCTAGTGTTTCGAAAGAAAGCAACTGCTGTAGAATTGTCACAAAATATCTTCAATGGCTTTGAAATGGTGTTCACAATACTTAGTCCCAAAATAAAGTTCCGCAACCATATAGCCTGACAAGTAGCCTCATAACAAGCTACATACTCTGCCTCCATGGTAGATGAAGCTACAAGTGTCTGTTTGACACTTTTCCAAGAAACAGCTCCTCCTGTGATCATAAAAACATAACCAGAAGTAGATCTCCTATCATCTAAACAACCTGCAAAATCGGCATCAGAATATCCAACTACATCAAGAATGTCAGATCGTCGATATGTAAGCATCAGATCTTTAGTGTCTTGTAAGTATCTAAGTACTTTCTTTGCAGCCTTCCAATGAGCCAAACCAGGATCACTCAAGTATCTTCCAAGTACACTAACAACATAAGCAATATCAGGCCGTGTACATACTTGAGCATACATCAAACTGCCCACAACTGAAGAATATGGAATTGTTTGCATTTGAGTCCTCTCATTATCATCCTTAGGGCATTGTGACTTAGAAAATTTATCACCTTTCACAATAGGTGCTTTTCCAGGTGAACAAGAATGCATATTAAACCTACTCAAAACTCGATCAATGTAGGTTTTCTGAGACAATCCAAGAATGCCTCTAG